ACGAGCTTCACCACACATGATTGAAAAAGTTCCGGATTGTCTAATGTCATCAAGTATATTTCTTAAAGACGCCCGTGACAAGAGGGAAATAATTTCATTTTGTATTTGGGGACTGGTATAGTTTTCATGGGAATTATGTAGAATGTCAAAGTCCTTGTTATACTTTGCTATTAGGCCACATATTTCCTTAAAGTTTCTTTTATTTAATAAACTTTCGCTTTCGTCATGACCTCTGAAAGCCATGCCTTGACGAGCCATTGTTAAGGTTATATCTGCCAACATTCTCAAGTAATTCCTATTTTTCTCTATCTGGGTGCTATATGCTTGTGAAAGATGAGATAAAACATTTCCGCTTTTTATTGTCTTTTTATAATTATGCCATTTACTGAAACTTTCAATGTGATGCAAAGATGCACCATGTTTTTTTAATTTTTCGCCAGTTTTTTTCCAGTTACGGAATCCCACTATTCTAAAAGCTTCTTCATCCATAGCAGCTTCAAAATGACGACAAGCATAGTACGAAATGGAATCTGTTTTGACGCTGTATTCCAACCAATCAAAATCTTTATAATAGTTTGCGCTGAACGACCTTTTTTTATTTCCAAACATAGTTTGTGGAAATCTTTTAAGAATAGGTTGTGATACGTTTTCACCTAGTTGGCCAAGTCAGAAGCGTCTATTTTCACATGGTGCGTGGTTGATTTTGGTTGAATATTCTGATCCAGATCCTTGCTTGTACCGGGCTGCTGTTCAGGCTGACTATTCTCATCCTCTTCCAGTGTAGTTGGTTGTATAGACGGTAAAGATATTGAAGACGTTTGTCTTTTGAAAAATTTTCTTATGTCCATTACCTGCAACAAAACGAAAAAACGAAATTGAAAGACTAAAGATAATTGCTTAAAAAATTTTGTTCAATTTGAGTTGATAGTTTTTGAGTTATTCGCATTTGAAAACACCGACAGACAGACAGACAGAGGAACAAAAAACGTCCAGAATCGTCTGAAATGCAAAGATCTATAAAAAAATTTGGAATTGAACATTTTTTTCCCAATTTTAAAACGATCACATACTCCTCCATACTATTGTATGTACATAATATGGTGGAGTCAAAAAGTTTAAAATCATCGAAATGAAATACAGTCCAAGAGTCTAAGTAGATATAGTCTAATTTTTGATAGAGTTGATGGGAAGGCAAACTGACACATAATCTTGACGAAAAAAGCTATAGATACTGAATAAATTGTTAAAAATAAGCGGTAAAAAGAATAAAGTAAAGTTACTAACTACACTTACTTGTTACTTCTGTAGTAATACGCCAACAATTCTTACATACAGTTCACTAATACTTCTCTATTGTGTTACTACTCTATTCTATTATCGCTCGCCGTTTTATTGTTTGCTGTACACCACGCTGTAAACTGTCAAGCCACGTCAAAGTATCTAACTGAAACTGACTGATCTTTATACCTTGAACCCGTGTTGGTGAAACACGAAACGCACAGTATTGTATTCCGATAGCTATAGTATAGGCGGTTGGTACGTTAATTTTTTTATTGTTTCTTGTTTACATTGTATTTGCAATTTTTTCTATTAGAATATTTCAAGGGGGCCGCAGGGCCATCAGGGGGGGCCTGGCCCCCCTGGCCCCCTCCTAGGTACGCCAGTGCATATATGCTATATGGGATGAAAACCATCCCCAGCTTGAAAGCGTCCTTTGGAACAATATAGATTTCGTGACCTATTCTATACCTACTGACAAAATTTCAGGTTAATTGATGTGTTTTTAAAAAATGCCAGGTCAAAATCTTCACTTCCTGGACTATTACAGTAAAAAACATTTTCAGTACCATAAATGAATAGCCGTATTGTATTAAAGAACAACTAACATAAATCGTGAAAGTTTTGACATCTATCTTAGATTAAAAACATTTTTGTTAAAATACTACGATGCTTGTGCAATAATTAAGTAAAGAGACATCTACTGATCTATTTGATGACCAAAATGTCACCAGTTGATGATACATTTAAAAATTGTATTTGAATAATCGGTTGATGGAACATTTAATAATGGTTTACGTCACTGGCTAATTGTCTTAAACACATAAACTAGTTCTACTTAACGGACAAATAAGGTCTTTTTTAAAAAGTTAACCCACTAGGGACCAAGCGGTCATTAATGACCCGCATAAAGTTATTTTCAAATAACACAGCTCAAGCTATTAATATGTTTGAAACACTAGGTTACTTTCAGGGTTGGATAGAAACTGCTCAGTTTTTTAAATTGGTAAGCTTCATGTAAAAGTTGATTACGTTTCAGTTCATACATTTTGTTGTTTTTTTAGGTAAATGATTCGTTCGATTGCCTTAACGTTTGTAACGTCGATATTTGATAACATCTAGTACATACATTTAATTCAAGGTCAGGTTAGCTCATGTCGGAGAGAAGGTGTGGTAAGGTCAAATGCACAAAAAAACTACGTAGTATGTCAAAATTTAAACACAATTAGATACTTAACTGAAATTATAATTTATCATTGGACGCCACCCCTTGTTATCCTCGTAAGGGACGAGAGAGAATAAAAAAATAAGATATATAAAAAAAATTACAGCGAAATTACACTTTATTTCTCAGTAATAAAAAGAAACATTAAAAGTTGTTATTTCCAAAGGATACTAAAATACCATTTCATAATTACATTACTATAAACAAAGCAACTTTCTATCTTTTTACATCAAGAATTGGTTGATAAAAACAAATGAATTTATTATTCCCAAATTTCGAAATTCGTTTACATTTAAAATATTGTTAGTTATTTATTAACTAGGCAACATAGAAAAGTTACATCTATTGTAGTTACATCTATTATTACAACCTTATTTATCCAATCTCTGGGAACCAGGAAAAAAGGAATATACTCTGCTTCTTCTCATCCGTTAGTTATTTCATCAAATATTTACTAATAGGAATCCATTTATATTATAAGTAATTATTGGAAACCATATATAGGGAAGTATTGGACCATAGAAAACTGTCTCAGTTAACTTAACATAATCAATTAACTTTAACCTCATAGAAAGAGCCTCTAACCTAGAGACTCACTTCTAACACACGTCCTATCGGGTGGACGTTTGTAACAGGAAAGAAAGCGACGCTATTTCAACGGTTTTGAATTGGGGGCGTGATTGACAAGTTAATATCGTTCTCATCTATCGGATATGTTGAGAATTACCGTAGAAACCTTGAGTCGAATACAAGCACCTGGCAGATAGGTGGGGTTAGTAGTTTTATTTAAAAAAAAAATCAAACTTATAATGAATTTTCTAAAACTTTTGAAACGGTTACACGTTAGGGTACCCTATTCAGATTCCCGAGACCGAGTACAAGGCTATGGAATATATATATATATATATATATATATATATATATATATATATATATATATATATATATATATATATATATATATATATATATAGACGTTCCAAATAAGATTATTGACGAGATATCAGAAGCTATGAAAGCTTTAAAAGTTAAAGGAAAGTGATCATTGTTGCCTTTTTAGAAAGGTAAGTTGTGTTGATTTTAGAACATTCTAATTAAAACTATTCTTTGGTACTAATATTCAACATAAATATTATCTTAAACTCACTCTTCTTTATTGAAATTAGGTATAGAACCTTTTAAAGTCATAAGGAGACACGCAGAGAGTGATCTATTCATTAACCACCCTGTATCATAAAATAAGTTAATTAAAACTATAACATGCAATATATCAAAGTTCTGGGAATTTTGTGCATAATCCAAAAAATTTATAATATACTTAACCAATGTTTCATTTAAAATAAGAAAGTTGGTATCATAGTAATTGATATATAACATCAGTCAACATCCTGTATATAAAATAAAAAAATTTTATTGGAAAAAATGCGCAAAAAGTATTTTTTAAAATACTTTTTAAAACTATTTTAAAAAACCTTTAATTTTGATTTGCTATTATTTACTAATAATTTTTTTAGAGTTATTCTTATGCAACCAACAAGTCACATAAACCTCATCGTCACATTCAGATGCGGATACAAATGAACTGCGCAAGTCTGCGCATAATAGTGGGTCAGGCTCTAGACCCTAGTCTCGGTACTAATCTGTAAAATCTATGGGATTCCCACATTATTACAACTTTATTAGAATTCATTTTATATGACATAAAAGGCTGGTCGTGGTATTAGGAGACTACAGCCTATAAAATTGGAAGACTACCGATTAAAAATTAAGATCCATAAAGTAACAACCAAAAATTGTGATCTGTGGTCAAAATAGACCCCGGCCAGTCCAATGAAGCTTAAATAACAATTCAATTTACTATCAAACGAAATGTATTTAAGTTTTATTATTAATTTAATATTTCGTCTAAATTTGACATATCTGTCAGAAGTAAACAACGCCACCAGGTGGCGTTAGGAGCGAACATAATAATTTATACACTTACTTGAATATAATATAATTTGTTTAAAATATAAATAATACAATTATTTATTCAATTTTCAAAATATTTAAAGTTTAAATAGTATACATAGAAAACATAGTACCTATGAAGCTACACGCTAGTCTATCGTGCTGCCTACTGGACCATCTTTTTTATTTAAATAATGACATCAAATGTTATTTCTTTAAACATTTTTCTAGAAAAAAATAGTTCGGGTCCCTAATGGGTTAATTTAGACATTGATAAACAAAAAACAAAGAAATACCTGCCTGTATTAGTATTTTGATGCGCAATATAAGTTTTGTCTATCTAGTGCCAATAAGTAAGGAAGTAAATGAGTTGTTTATTATAACAACTTCGGTATCAGAGTACTAATCATTATCAAAATATACTTCAGAATTAGTATCTATCACTTGCCTGTCGATGATTTTAGAATATGATCTCATTATACAAAAATTATGGTACTATTCTCAAATATCTAAAACATATTATTTGATCTTTTAACTAAACTATTACCTGTACAGCTGAATCCTCGTGCAGATCGTAAGTATCTCCTAGAAGTAAACTGTCTATTCCGACATTAGCCACAGCAACTTGCGATTTAACCATACTAGTAGATGCATCTGTCATTAAAAAGTGATACTTTTCAGACGTATCCCGTTCTGGTGTCAGATCGTAATCATCTCCCATCAGTTTTAAATCTAAGTATGTATTCAATCCACCTTCCACTTCCGAACGATTCGTTAGAGAAAGTACTTCGTCTTCCGGAATAATTGTGCTCTGGTCTTGTTTCTTTTCCGGGGTCGTTTCTGCGATATATTCGTTAAGATCTTCAGTATCACATTTTTTGTTGCAGACTAGGGAAGTACTTTGCGTACATTTATTTATCAAATCTGGTTTATCTGAAAAAATATACAGATACTTTATAAGTCTGTCAAGGAAACTTATTGTAATCCTCGTAAAATAAACTGGGAGACATATCAAGTAGACCTGGAACATTATTTAGATATGTTTAAATGGACGACACTGCCTACATTGGACCTAGACCTGGTTGACAAATAATTTCAAAAGGTTATTATGTTAGAAGATCTGCTGAAAGGAACAGTTGGTGGGTTTGGAATAGGTGTGTAACATTTTTTTTTATTATTAAAATATTAATTATTTTTAATTTCTTTTACCCCCGTGCGATACGCCGATGATTAGGAATTCCCGTGTTAACGATAAGAAAATAATATTGGATCTACTAAATTATAATGGACTTGCCTAATTACTAAAGGTAGTTAATCCTTTCCGTCTTAATACTCAGTATGAAAAGATCTAATGCTTTTGAGTATGCAGGTTCGTTTACATAAATTGATAATTTTCGCCGAAGGCTCGTATCTTTTGACAATAACTTAATCCCAAGTATTGTCTGCTTCTCATGTCCAATTGTTGGTACCGGTAACTCAAAACTTTCGGAATTTTTACTTCCTCAGAATTACCTACAACTGTCCGATGATTTTAAGTGGGGGATAAACTTCTTCTTCTTTTTTCTTGGATAGTTGGTGAAATTTTTAGTGGAACCAACTGACTTTTCGGTGGGCTCTCGTTGAGCACAGGTCGATTATCTCGTGAGACTTCTCGGTGGCCTCTCGTTGAGTGTGGTCGCTTGCCTGAAATTATCGTCTCTGTGAATTATTTTCTAAGCGTGTATACCCTCTATATTTCAGTTTTCTTGTCTTAGACTATATTAAGTTATATATAGTTCTACACTACCTTTAATGGTTCCCAATTAAATTCAGTGTTGAATACCAGTACAGTATATTAAATTCAGTGAATTAAGCTGCCGTCATCAGGAATTATGTAAGTTACCATAATCTTTATCTGCAAATTATCTGGGCGAGTAATATGGTATGGTATCATATCACCTGCCATTATCTGGACGTATCACCCATCATTCATCCATATCTTCATCTGTAGATTGCCGATTTTTATATTTAATTTAAAGAACGATTCAAGAACTAAATTTAGAGTTAAGAAAGTTTTGCTATCTTTTGTATTTGCTATAATTTTTGCTCATTATCTTTCCTATAATATCTCGAGATACGCCAAACTATATTTGTATATGATTGCCTTATATATCTTGGTAAAGGTATTTTTTATTATATTATTGCTTAATTTTATACATATATAACACCATTTCATAGTTGTGTATTTTTATTACTTGTGTTGCATTTAGCAGCATCATAATTTTGTGTTTAATATATTGTTAATGTTTTATGCATGTATTTTATTTGTCGGCTCCTAACAAGTTCCCTGATAAAATAGTAGCTCTAAATATTCGCTTAGTATATTAATTTATTACTATACCTTTGACTAGAAGAAAGATCAGGCTGATTAAGTTTCGTAGGTAAGTAAGTGTAATACCTAATATATTTATTATTTGTTTATATATTGTGCTGACCAAATTTGTTTGATAATTAACTGTTGGTATCTTTCCTTGGGTTTGATCTCTAATCTCTGAAGGATATCTTTCCTTATCTCTTTTCTTTTCTAAGGTTTCTTAATTTTCTCCTTAACCCCAAAAAATTGAGTGGCGCCCTGTTTCTATCTTCTCTTATCTTTGGTAATTTTATCCATCTATCTTTTTATTTATTTCTATATCTTTTCTAATATCTCTTATCCTATCTTTACTTATTTCGTCCGTTGGAGCCAATCCCAAAAGCTAGTTTCGAACCCACGACTCGCTCTCCACCAATCATCTGGCTGCCGTCCGCAGTGTCTCCATTGGTTATCTTTCTAGCACCATCCAAAAAATATTTCCGAGGTTACAGGTAAACGAAATGAGGGAGGAGAAAGGCTATTACAATTTGTCATCGACACTGAACTTAGTATCATGAACTCCATGTTTAAGTATTATCCGCGAAGACTATCAACTTGGACTTCAACGGGGGAAGATATAAAAATCAAATAGATTATATTATTGTTAGCAAACGATGAAAAAGTTCAGTAGTCAACGTAAAGATCAGCGGCTGATTGAGAAACTGTTATAATCCCAATTCCATATCAAATTTCGTATAAAAAAACCGAAACAAATAAAACAATTAAATATATACCTAAAGAGCCTGGAAAATACAAAGAAACAGTAAGACATAGTAATACACCAAACATTACTGGCGATCCTGATCATACATGGGAACATACAAAGACGTGGATTATAGACGCAATAAATATTAAATTAGAAACAATGCTTCAAATCCAACAGAATCTGAAAACAAGATAGCAAGTGTAAACAGACGCATCAAATCATCAAGTAGAGACAAAAATAATCATATTAAAGAAATATGCAAACAACTACAAGAACACGCCAACCGTCAAGAATCTAGAAAACTGTTTGCCTGTTTATGTGGTACTATCCAGCTTTTATGCTTCCATAAATGCGACAATTATAGAACTATCTCTCTTATATCCCATGCCAGCAAGATAATGCTACATATAATCAATGAGAGACTGAAAACAGTCCTTCAAAGAGAAATTCCACAAGAGCAAACTGGATTTACCAAAGGTAGAGGCACTCGAGAACACCTGCTATATATAAGACAGATAATCGAGAAATCTAGGGAATTCAACATCCCACTATACATCTGTTTTATAGATTACCGTAAAGCGTTCGACAGGGTCAAGTGGAGACACTTATGGCGAATACTAAAAGAAGTAGGCGTACCACAACATCTAATTACGCTTATAACCGAACTCTATGAACACACTACTGGATCAGTTAAAGTACTTGACACACTTTCGAACGAATTTCATCTAGAACGGGGTGTCAGACAAGGATGTATACTATCTCCACAATTATTCAACATATATGGGGAGTATATTATGCGAAGAGCACTTGAAGGATGGGAAGAGGGCATCTCAATAAATGGTCATAAACTAAACAACCTACGTTTCGCAGATGACACAGCCCTTCTTGCAAATAGTCAAGCAGAGCTGATAGAACTTATAAGACTGATCGAAAACGAAAGTCAAATATTTGCTCTGCAATTAAACATATCAAAGACAAAGATCATGATAGTGGATAGACTACACAACAATTATCCACACATAACCACAATTGACCGGTTCGAGGTTGTGAGCTCATACTTATATCTGGGATCATTAATCACAAACACAGGGTCATTACAAGAAGAGATTAAACGTAGATCTGATCTAGCAAAAGTTGCCACAGCAAAAATGACCAAAATATGGAAGGACTGTCAAATTTCAAGAGCGATAAAGATGAGGTTGATCAACTGCTTAATATTCCCAATACTGACCTACGGATGTGAATCTTGGACTCTGAGACAATCGGAGAGAAGAAAGATAGACACCACTGAAATGTTCTGTTGGAGACGAATGTTACGAATTCCTTGGACCGACCGCAGAACAAATAATTCAATTTTAGCCAACGACTCTCTAGTAAAGTCCATCTCCAACAATTAAAATATTTTGGGCATGTTATGAGAGCAAATACAGAAAACATGGAAAGACTCATAATACAAGAAAAGGTAGAAGGCCGGAGATCACGAGGAAGATCCCCAACAAGATGGATAGATCAAATTACAGGAATATGCCAAAGACCTACGCATGAATTAAAAGAAATGACCAGAGACAGAGATCTCTGGAGACGGACAATACACGACATCACGTCGACCACTACACTCCCCCTGGGGGGTCAGGATTGAGGAGAGAGATCCACATAATAGTGTAGAAAGGCTATAAAAAAAGTGTATAAAAAAATTAGTATATTCTAAAACATTATGTTGAAATTCAACTTAATCTTCAGATAACCCAGAAAATCCCAGTAGCTGCAGACCTATTTCGCTGTTGTGTCACTTTTTCAAACTGTACGAGAGACCCATACTCACCAGAATAGAAAAAAATGTCGACAAGCACCTCATCCCACAACAAGGAGGATTTAGCCCCGGCAAATCTGGTACCGGTCAAGTCCTCGCACTAACAGAACACATTTAAGAGGGATTTGAAGAAAAACTTATAACAGGGGCTGCTTTCGTAGATTTGACAGCAGCCTATGACACAGTAAGGCACTAAACATTGCTCCGCAAATTATACGACACTCTCAATGACCACCATCCAATGACCAATCTTCAAAAGACATCTCAGTCCAGGACGCCGCCTGACTAACCTTAGTGCAGGATTCCTTCTTCGTACTCCCGGCGATAGTTCTCGAGGTACTTTAAAATGCCCTCTTGTCACCGAGTCTACGCCGAATGCCTACCTGCTAAACCAGACCCTCCTCTGTCATGCAGCGATCCGGAAGCGGAATGGCCGCTGTAAGGCCGGCATCACTTCCGAAGCACTACCTTTATTCATTCATTCTCCATTCATACACATCCACACTCCTAATTCGGCATCATTCCCAGAAAAATGTGGAACGCTTCACGATTTTGCGTATCATCCTTGCGCAGGGGCCATGCCAATCTTCTCTGTATCGTTCCAATTTTAGTATATGTACCGCCGAAGCGAGTACAATGACCACCATCTGGGTAAGGTCGTATATGTTTTACTACAAAATAGACGTTTTTTGTTATGCTAGAAGGTAAAGTAAATAGATGGAGAGTTCAAATGAACGGCCTCCCACAGGGAAGTGTTTTAGTACCAATGCTCTTCAACATATATACAAACGACCAACCTACGCCGACCGAAACCAAGCACTTCCTCTATGCTGACGATCTTACAATAATGGCTCAAGAAATAGTTTTGCGTATTACCAGCGTACTACCTGCAGAATTTCCTGAGACCCAATCCCTCTAAAACCCAAGTCTGCGCATTCCACTTTCGCGCAAAGGAAGCCAAGCGGAAACTCCAAATTGCGTGGAATGGTAAAGCATTAAAACACAAACCAACCTATATATCTTGGAGTAACTCTGGACCGGTCCCTTACATACAAATAACATTGCATAAAAACGAGAGGGAAAGTAACAACTAGGAACAGCATACTCAGACAGCTAGCGCGAAGTAAATGGGGCGCACGTCCTGGCGTTTTAAGAACAACGGCACAGGCACTGTGTTTCTCAACTGCTGAATATGCGTGGCCCGTTTGGGGCAGATCTGCCCACACCAAACAAGTTAATACTGCGCTAAATGAGACATGCAGGATAGTAACGGATTTGTATGAAACCAACGCCACTTTCAAATCTATATAAAGCAGCGGGTTTTGTAGAATCCTCAACACGCAGAGGCGTTGCAGAACACATAGAGAAAATTAAACAGATCGCGGACGAGCGGCATGACCTATACAAAGCTCGAACACCGAGCTCGAAAGCGACTAAAATCTAGGAAATGCTTCCTTAGAACAGCGCAGGGTGAACCGCCTGAATATTTTCCTCTTCCCCAGGTTCAATGGACCGGTCAGTCCCTAGACTTTAAAAGTTGAAAACTATGAATAGGACAAGAGCGGGGTCGCTCCAGTAAAATCAAACATGGCAAAATGGGGAAAAATCGACCAAGATGATGTGAACTGTGACTGTGGAGAAACACAGAATATGGAACATCTTACATGCAGAATTTGTCCTCATCGATGTAACCTCCACGATTTGTGGCTCGCCAACAAAGATAAAACCGACGTAGCCCGATACTGGGCCGAAATTTTATGAATGACATGTCTGGACACGATAAAGTAAGTAAGTTGAAAGGTGAAAGATATGAATTACTCCAAATCGTATTGGAAGGTAAAGTGCAGGGCAAAAATTAAGTTGGAAGACGCCAACACTCGTTGCTGAAAGATCTATGGAGATGGTTTGACGGCTCATCAATAGAAATCTTTCGTGCAGCAGTTTCGAGAGCTACAATTGCCATTTGGATCGCCAACCTTCGAAAGGAGACGGCACAATATGAAGAAGAAAAAACTACAGACCATTTGCCTTTGGTTGTAAATAATTACAGCAATAGCTGGAGTTACACTGTTTAAGAAAAATCGTCTTTCGTCGTCGTAGCAGAGAATAAAGAAATGTGTTGGGGTTACAAATTTATAGTCTCTAATGAAATAGGTTGAGGAGGGGAGAACTGTTTGTCTCAAGTTGGTCATTTAGAATTATATCTGTGTTTTTTAATTTGTTCATTTCCATAGATTCTAACAAAGATAGCTTAAGGCCTTTATTTTGAATGTGAAGAATTTTAAATTTGTCATTAAAAGAATGATTATGATCTAGAAGGTGAAGTGCGTATGTCGAATCTGTTTTTTTATTCTTGAAAGCCCTTTTATGTTCTGCTATTCGATTATCAAAGTTTCTACCAGTTTGACCGATGTAAGTTTTTGGGCACTTGAGAAAGGCAATCAGCCGAAACGGCTGTAGTGATAATATTTGAAATAAATAAAGAAATGATTTGCGAGAATCATTTGCTGGCTGTAAATATTCTTTGTACGTCGCGTTTGCTAGTTTGAAGGGTTCTCCTCTAACCACTGAGGTTAAAGCACGATTTACGTAGATCCTTCGTGTGAAATTTCGAAAAATCTTGCTGGCACAGTTATTTACGGTAATAAAAATAATACTCGATTTGAGCTTTTCAAGTGATTTGGGGTTAAAACTAATGATTTTTTCCACAGTTTTCATAAAATATGTAGAGAGTGCCAATTGTAACGTTAGAAATTTGAAGATATTAACAAACAATGAAATAAGTCATTAAATAAGGTCATAGTATGTTAAAAATACTTAGACTGATAATAATAAAATATCTACGTAAACACTTAACACTTTTCCAAACAGAAGCATTTTTTCTAAATTGATTATCTTTACGTAGTATACTAAAAATATACCTTTTACTTACCTATCATTAGGCTAGAAGTGGTTTGAGACGATTGTTCTATAACCTTATTGGGCGGTAAATTGACTTGAACCGTTACGTCCATCTGGAAGTTTGCTATAGCAGTCTCTGTACCACAATCAACTTTTATCGGATAATTTTTGTACCTGTGATCATCTTGAATACCAATAACTCTGACTTTCTCGATACTATACGTTTTGGCAGATTCATCAGGTATGTCGTTGAGACTGTCTTCCAAACTACTTTTATCACTTAATGCGATGTCACTTAGCGGTTCTTGAAATTGAAGATCTAAAAAAACTAATTGATATGTATATTACCTTGGATTTGTGCAATCTTATTCGATTGTCGCGAACATTTCTGACAGAAGGATTTTGATTGACGGGAGGAGCGGACGATATATTCTTTACGAGAGGTCTCCAAGTTGAAAGTCACCGTATGCTGTTATCTCTTCCATTAAGACCCTTTTTTAAATTTCTATGGCTTCTCGGATAATTCTTGGTTTATAGAAGCGGATGGGGGCTATGGTTTTGGAGTTTTCAAAATCAATTTTGTGACCTGTATGAAGATGGTGTTGACCGAGAGCTGAAACTGGTCAGAATTGCGAACAGAAATGGAATGTTCATAAATCCTATTTTGGATTCTACGATTTGTTTGGCCTATATAATGTTGGGGTAGTCTGCATAAGGAATTTCATAAACTCCATGTTGTTCATTTGGAATGTTGTCTTTAATTGATCGGATAAGAGATAAAAGTTTTTTAGGGGTAAAATTGTCTTTATTCCTTTGATACCTTTGAAGTGACACCTTTGATATAAGGAAGAAACGCTTTCGTATGTTGAGGGTCTGAGTCTTTGGGTTAAGATTGAGTGAGAGATTGATGTCTGTGGACTGTCTATTGATATGATTTTCTCGGTAAACGTTTTGGATGAGGGCTTGTTTTAAACTAGAGAGCTCAGCGAGTATATTTGTATCATCGCGATGTAAATAATAAATTTATTTATTTACACCATATAATGTATTGATCAAATAAACAAATAATAAATTTACAAAAAAATTCGAATCATTACTTTCAATTTGAGACGTTAATATTGAACAATAATGAATTTTATTCGTTACTTTAAGGAAATATTAAGTGATTTCTCAACGTTCCTTACAATAATTGTAAGTTGTCTACATTTGGCGCAACTAAACGACTGTAATTTCTCATCACTTCAGTAGATTTTAATATTTTTAATTTTCAGTTTTAATATTAAAATAAAGCACAAACTTAAATTTTTAACTTTATTGCAGAGAAAATGTTGAAAAATAATTTTGTTACTGAATATAAACAACGATGAACATTTTAAAATTATTTTTAATTCTAAACAAAAATAATTCAAAAAAATAAAAATTTAAAAAAGTTTTAAAACACTTCATATATAATATAGTTATAGTCATACAACTAATAAAAGTTAATATCTGATCGTATATGGTATAAATCAGTATACATAACTGTTTGTATGGGAAAATAAAACTGTTTTACTATTTTACTTACAATTTCATCACATTTTCACACATATTAGACCTTCCTAGGATTTCAAATATCTCAAAACCAAAATTGGTCAAATCGATGAAGTCTCTTTCGATTTATTATAAAAAAAGTTATAAAAACATAAAATGATGGTTGTTAAATGACATTTTATGATATTTTATAACTATATGGATCAAATCAGCTAAAACTGTAGAGGTCAAGTTGTATAAAACATTTTAAATTAACATTTAAAAAAATTATGGTCATTCTTCGAGATAAAAAATATCTTACCCCCTAAGTTGGAACAACAAATACACTTTTATAAAATTTTATTACAATCGATTCAGTGATTTTTGAATATTAGCTTGGACAAACATCGTGCCACGAGATTTTTCTATATAAAGAAAGTGATCATACTGTATATTGTATGGCTATATGTCAAAGATATTATATATATATATATATATATATATATATATATATATATATATATATATATATATATAATCGAACACCTCTCTACCCTAAGGTCTAAGGTAAATACAAATACAGGTTGCAGATATACATTACATCTCAAATCTAATGAAAATACATAATTCTTGTTTTTTATTCTATTCAGACCACGAACTTTTTTCATTCTTTCTGTTTTTTGCCTTATTTTGAGCTTCTGACCATTCCATTCCCCTACTTTTCAAAATCTGCCCTACTTCGTCCTCCTAGGTTTTCCGTGGTCTGTCCCTTTTTTGAACTTTTTCACTTCCAGAGTCTTCCAGACTCGCTTAACGGGTCGGTTGTCGCTCATTCGGCACAGATGACCAAACCATTTTACCTGTTGTGTTTCAATAACATGTAGTACAGATTCTGTGCCCAGTTCTTCTCTAACAAATCGTTTCTTATTTTGTCTCGTCGTGTTATTCCTTTGACTCGTCTTAGATATTTCATATCAATGGCTTGACCCTTTCTTTTTAATTGCTTTGTTAAAACCCAGCTCGCGATTCCATATATCAAGACAGGTCGGAATACTCCCTTATAAACTGTCATTTTGGTTCTTCTGCTGATTTCCGGTTTACCTATGAATGCTCTACTAAGATTATGGTATACTTTTGAAGCACTACTTATTCTTTCTGTTATTTCATTCTGCATGGTACCTTCTCTGTCTATTGTACCTCCTAGGTATTTGAATGCATCTACTTGTTCTATGAGTTGTTGGTTAATTTCTATGTTAACATTTCGGTTAGTTTTCGCTATTAGCATCACCTTGGTTTTCTTAACATTAATCTTCATGTCTCTGATTGCCAGCTCATTATTCGAGATATCTATATTTTTCTGGAGGTCCCTTTCGTTGGAAGCGCATAACATGAGATCGTCTGCGAATGCACACTCAGCTATACCATCCGGTCGTAGTTTACTATATCCGATATGTACTTTGTGTATACTTGCTTTTGTTTCCTTAATTATGTCATCAATAATCAATATGAACAGTGTGGGGCTCATAACACCTCCTTGTCTTAGACCCTCGTTTATTGCAAATATCTGTGATTCCAAGTCATCCTTACGTACATAAAGCTTGTTATTTTGATACTAATATTACTATTTTGCAGACTTTTCCAAACTGCTTCCTGGGACACTCTGTCAAATGCTTTCTCAATATTTAGAAAAGCCTTATATATTTCTGTGTTCTTTATTCTCAATTAGCTTTCTTAAAGAGCTCCTTTCTTAAAGTAATTGTCAGTATTATGCCAATTCTCCAATCTTAGGGAACTGTATATCAGTTCCAAGCCATGTTCATAATTTTGGATTAAAATTCAACTCCTTTCGGTCCCATTGTCTTTAACATTTCAGCAGTGATTTTGTCATGACCAGCCGATTTACCTCTCTCTGTATTATTAATTGCTTCTTTGACTTCTATTTGGATATAATTTTCTTGTAATGTTCTCCTTCTACTTCTATCATTACAGTTTCCTCTCTCGGCTGTCTTACTGTTAGGAGTTCGCTAAAGTATTGTCTCCATGTTTCCATAATCTCATTTGGTCTGATAATCAACGCACCGTCTTTACGTTTCACCTGTTTCATCGTTGTTTCTTTACCTTTTCTCAGCGTCTTTAGTGCCTTGTAAAACAATTTTTGGTTACCCCGGCTATCTGCCTCCATCTTCATTAAAAACTCATCCCAGGTTTCCTTCTTCATCTTCAGCACCATTTCTTTCACCACCTTTCTTTGTTGTTTATATTCTTCGTAACTATTTTCTGTTTTCTTGTTTAAGTATATTTCCATTTCTGTTTTTTATATTTTATTTGGGCTTTTAATTCATCGTCCCACCATCGTGTTTGCTTCTTATTTCTGTTTACATTGTTTATTCCACACGTTTATTTTGCTGTCGTTACGATGGTTTCTTTAAATTGTTTCCAAGTTTTCTGTAAGTTGTCAGTACTATGTGCATTAGATAATTTGGCTAGTTTTTCCTCTATTTTACTTTTGAACATGGCCGCGACTTTTTGGTCATTTAGTTTATAGTTTTGAATATTCTCGTTCACTTTATTATTTTTCGTTCTTTGTTTAGTGGTTTTAGATGATTTTTGGGGTAATCTTATCTTTGCCACTACCACATAGTGCTCACTATAGATTTCCGGGCCTCTTTTAACTCATCATCAGTGACCTCTTTACTAAATTCTCTATTAATTAGAACGTAATCTAGAATTGATTTTTCATTTCTGCTGCTTACTTCTCTCGTGAACTTGTGTATATCCTTGTGTTCAAAAAATGTGTTGGTTATAATCAAATTATTCTCCATGCAAAAGTCTATCATCCTTCTTCCATTATCGTTTCTTGTATTTTCCCCCTGCATACCCAAAATATCTATGTTATCATCATCTCTTTTACCAACTCTTCTATTCATATTACCTAGAATGACTATTCTATCTTTCACATTTTCTATAGCATCATTGAACTCTTCCCTATATTCATCTTTAACTTCAAATGGTTCGTCATCATTAGAGCCATATGTGACTAATATAGTTGATATTTCTGAATTAACTAGTGTTATCTCTATTTTTAAATTTCTTTGTGATATAAATTTCCCATTTTTAACACATGACATATAGCTTGCTCTCATTAGGCATCCTGCCACTCTACTATCGGTACTGACTGCGCTGTACAAAAATACATGTTCTTTATCCAATTCATCCATTCCTTGACCTTTCTTTTCAGTTTCCGTGATCGCCAAAAAATCTAATTGTGCTTTGTCAAATATTATAATATTTATAAATTGTCTATTAGTTCTTTCTCTATTTAAAAATGGCACTATACCGGAAAAATATTGACATATCATTTATATTTTTATTACCTTTTAAACATAATCCACATTCCTTTAAATTTTACCATTTTTCTCAATAAAAGTGTAAATATTTTGAAATTTATTAACTTTGCACCTATAAATAATTATACAAATTGTTTACATATTTAAAAAATATATTCAAAAATGATTTAATATATAGGGTGTACCATTTAAGAAAACAAAACTTTGGTTCATTACGTTGTTCCGACTGACCCTGTATAATCAAAAATAATTTTAAATTGTAGATGTCTTTGATACATTATAGTTGTGTTATAAACATTTTTTTGTATACCCCATAGTTTAGCAGTAATAAAAGAAAACCAGAGGGTTGGCGCACTCTGTTTATTATTTACAGAAGTAAAATGATTACCGATCTAAGTAGTCTAATTTTTATATCATTTAAGCTCCTTTTAGGTTTCATATTACAAAATGTAGAAAATGAAGAAGATTGTGAATCCTTACCTTTGTCAATCTCTTCGTTACTTCCAACTATTTCTGATTTGGCATCACGATTTAAATGATTAATTTCATTAAAACTAAGAACATTTGTATTAGCCGTGTTACCCACCACAGTAGCTGATGAATTTGACGGTTCTGTGCACTCTGTAACCCTACCTAAAAAATATATGTTTGCGTCGAATAAACTTGAATCTACAGCCAGGAAGAAATGGAATAAAAAGTAATCTCGAATAAAAAAAAAAGAATAATTTGCTATCAACCTGCACAAAATTTGATTAAAGATTATTAACAAAAATCTTGATTTTGTTGTACAGTGGAACGGCAGACATATCCATTTACGTATTGGGATCGATTTAAAATACGCTGAAAAAATTCAAAATATATATTTAATAAATATTGTATTTTAAATCGGCACCAAAGGACTGTAGAACATCTCTCTTCTCTAGGCAAAAGTAGGGCAATAAAACATTTGGCCACAATTTTACAAGCAAAAGCTGAATTATTAGTCTGAACAGTGGCGTAGGTATTATATCTACTTTAAAAATTAAATAAGAATTAATGTTAAGCGCTTGATTTTAAATCTACAAAGATATCTTATTATATATATTATTTTAGCATTTTTTTCTTCCAATCTATATATTATAAAAAAATTGCTAAGGTTTTAATTTACATGTTACAAATCTTAGAAAGATAAACACGTATTATTTCGAATGAAAGACAATACTTTAAAAGTGTATTAACACAACAATCGCTGTACCTATTTATTTTTAATTGATTTTGCTCTAATAATTCTCATAAGTTTTCATAAAATACTTTTAATTTGTGTCTTATAAATCTGCGAAAGAGAAACACTTAAGTTTGCGTCTCAAAATCTTCGATTAGAATAAATAAAATCCAACTGTTTGTTTATATTGGCCATGGACGTATAAACATAGATGGACACAGCAATAAGATACCTTTAACACACAATGTTTTGGAGCTTCGATAGAATGTGATGCTTCCGCAATGAGCATAAGCGTGCTCAAATTTTTACTCGCGGGTAATTATTCAGATTTTAAAAATTGGAAGTAGTAATAATGTATAAAAACACGTTAAAAGAATTTAAAAAAACGAGAGATTAACTATTAACAAATCACGTCTTTATAGACAAATTAAAATACAATTTTATTTGCTTTAAAATTAATACAATAAAATATAGTTGAATTCAAGTTAATTTTTAATAGGTATCAAAATAATGTTACAATAAAAAATCTTTATGTCTTCTCCTTTTTTGGTTGCTACCAAAATTTGCTACCAAAAATAGTTCGATCGTCAATATTATTTGGAAACCTACATAGAAAAATAAATGAGTTTTATTCATTTCACTAATTTATTTGCATTCATGAGAAATATTAAATTAAAAAGGTACTAAATAGATCTTTTTTAATCAGATGATGTCTACTTACAATTTAAAAATGTCTACTAATTTCATGAACTCATATCTTATTCAATACATTAATGAACATGAATAAACCCAATGGTACGCCTATTAAAATGTAAACAAACACGCTTCCTCATTTCCTCATCTTAAATAATGTAAATTGTATGTACTTACAAATGAAATGAGAGATCGGGATGTAAATATTTCGTTTATTTTATTTCACTTTTCACAAATATCACTCAAAATACAGCCAAAATATCGAAAAACAACTTTTACTAAAAAGTAAACAAACATGGAACGGCATTTGAAGTTTGACGTAGATCCATAAGACAGAGAAATGTAAACAACCGTTGCCATTTATAAATAGTTTTCAGTGCTTCTACATATAAAATAATTGATTTTATTTATTTATTTTATTTAGCGTATGGACTTTCACAGTACGATAAATATACAAATACAATTACAAAAATATACAGATATATATTATTTATATTATTCAAACACTAAAAATAGTACAAATAGAATGAATGACACTAAATATTAATGTCCAATTTACATAGCCATTCAATTGCTTCTGGGGAACATTCCGCAAAGTCCTGGAGGTTTCCACGGTAGGCACGATTCAAGCAGTCTGAAACACAATGGCTTATGGTCTGTCTAGATTCTCCGCAATCGCACTGTGAACTTTCTGCACGACCCCACCTGAACAGCGAATCAGCACATTTACCATGTCCGGTACGTATACGATTAAGCCTTGCCCAAATGGACCGGGGCAGATTTGATCCGATGAAACCCTGAGTGGGAGAATTGATTGATATCTATTATACGCTATTATTAAATGATAATGCACATTATGTGCACACTTTATATTTTGATTACAGTTAAATATATTAATCTAACCAATAAATTATTATTTTGGTTTGATAGCACCTGTAGAGTATAAAATACGGAGTAATATTTTCAGCGACTCACGAATAAGAAATTTTAAAACAAAACGTGACAACAGTTGAAGGTGCTGAGAATGTGACCTATTCAAATAATTTTGACTTCACAATTTTATGTAAATAACTGAGTCCATCTGTGTTTATACGTCCATGATATTGGCAAATAGTCACTTTAAATCCAACGTCACAGCTAAGAGCGTGATATTTGAAATTATATTGCCAGCCGATCCTACGCGAGATCTAAGGTTCGGAATCCGCATAGATTAAATGGGTTAAACAACCCCAAAATTCAATGTAAGTTTTTTTTTTATTTTACTTTGAGTATTTCTGCCAAATTTTTTTAATGTGCAATGTGAGCTGAAATTTAAAACGTGCAGTGATCCGTGCACATATTTAATATTTTTAATATTTGTTTAAACCGTGCTCATTTTAAACCTAGAAACCTAGACCTAAGGTAATTCCTGTAATACTATTACAGGAATTAATATTAAACTCAACAGTCTTCCGGGTAGGACCGCATCAGTTTTCATTCCACCGCGCTTTCGAGATCCTCTTCGATGTCTTCTTCAGAGCTTCCGAGGTCTCAGCCTCCCGAGCCCCCATAAACTTTTAAAATGATCACTAATCAATGCGTTACTGGTGCTGGGAATAGGGGAAGGGTCATTTATACCGTCGATGGTGACGAGGCTTAGGTGGGAGTTGGCGTGGGGGCCAACGTGGAGATTGGCGCGAACATTTCTGACAGAAGGATTTTCATTGAGGTGTGAAGAAATAGAGAACAGAAATTGAATGTTTAAAAATCCTATTTCGGATTCTACGATTTGTTTGGGCTATATAGGATGGGGGTCAGTCTGCACAAAAAATTTCATAAACTTCGTATTGTTCATTTAGAATGTTGTCTGTGATTGATCAGACAAGAGATGAAAGTTTTTGTTGGAGGGTAATTGTCTTTATTCCTCTTGATTTTAGAATTTTGTCGATTTTATCAGTGACACCTTTGATGTAAGGAAGAAAAGATTTCGTATGAATTGCATCATCGCAAAGGCGTATTGATCTGTATCTGATGAAGAAGGAAAATAAAATGCAAGTATTGTGTTATCAGCATAATGGGTTGGATTGGTGAAAAAAACATGCCGAATATTTATATTGGTTTCAGTTTCCAAAGAAATAATTTTGAATTTTAGTTGTCATTTTAGAAAGACTTTTAAAAATTGCGTGTCATACGAAGGCAAACAAATATTTGGTATACCTTCTTATCGTTTCATAGAGTACACAGCGAAAGGTTTTGAACGCAACAGTTAGGCAAGTGCTTGGTTTAAGGACTTGTTTCAAAACTCTGCAGAAACCTGGACCACTATGACTTTACCTTCTACATTACAACTATACTCTGGACCGTTACCACTTAAGCGTCCTAAACAATTTGCCATAGTATGTAGCTCCTGACAGTATATCATTTTATAACTAGCTAAAGTGTCAAGGGGAAAGATAACCTATTCAACCAGAAGAAGAGGACTTTAAAGGCGATTTATTGATGTTCATTTATTACTTTTGATTACATTTTGTTAAAAAGGGGACAACTCCAAAGATTTAGCTTTACCGATTTTGTAATTTCGAAACTGTTATAAGAACTAAGAAATTAAATATTAAATGGAAATATAGGAATTATATCTTAGTCACACCTGCAAACCTATCTGCCTCTAAGTGGATGAAGAAATATGAAAAATACGTAATACAAAGAATATAAAGAATTACACGAAAAGAAACCATCAGCGATCTTAACACACCATCTTGTTCCGAAAGTTCGCCCAAAAAATACATCTAATTCTGATTCATAATTTTTAGTTTTTCAACCATTCAAGACACTTTTTTGCTGGTTTTTAATCATTTTCGGATAATACGAAATTTCCGAAGTTCCACTGTACATTTATTTACCGCTTTATTACTTACCTAAACTATGTTTGTAATAAACCTCTTCTTCGATATTTTCAATGGACTCTTTCTCTTGTTCAATCACAGCTCCAAATAAACTCTCTACAGGACTAATTGGTGTTTCACATTGGCACGATGTATTAAGGTATTGTATGTTTATTTCGGAAGGCGATATTTGGAATGACGTATCTTTAGGAGAAGTAGCTTGATCACCAGATAGGTTTAGTTCTAAAGCCAAATTAATTAGGTGCTCTCTCATTTTTTTCTAAAAATTTATTTGAGTAGTTCTTTTAAGAAACGTTCTTAAGGCAGAAAATTCTTATTAGAACAACAACTAGTATAAATATGTAGATAATCTTTCCTAAAAATATCTAATTTATACTTTTATATCATTAAAATGTACATACTGTGGAAAATAAATCGATTTTTATACTAACTATAGTCACAAGAGAAGCTCTCTTTGCCTTAAATGTTATAACACAGAGATGTCTCGAAAAGGCCTTTGACAAAGTACGCCATAATCATCTCAAAGAAATCCTGGAAGGTAAGAACATCGACAACCGGAGTCATACAAATAATATTAAGTCTGTACTGGGATCAGCCAGCTAATATAAAAATAGAAGACCAAACATCGGATGAAATAGAAATACGTAGAGGAGTACGACAGGGTTGTATATTGTCACCGCTCTTATTTAATATCTACAGCAAACAAATATGCCAAGAAGCTCTCTCACATGCAAACGAAGGGATAATAGTCAATGAAGAAGTTATCAATAACATTTGATACCGTAAAACGGGGTTACACTGAACCCGAGGGTTACATTGAACAGTTTTGCAATTGAAGATTATATTTTTCTACAAGTTGGCCTAAACTTTTTTTTTTGGGGCCGATATATTTTTTTCGAGGGTTGCAAATATGTTTTTTCTTGGGCTTCCTGATAAAATTTCTGGCAGGTTCTCAAAATTAACAAAAAATGAAATAAAAAATGGTTTCTGAAATAAAAGGTAGTAAAAAAAATCTCTCAAACTTTGGCTGCAGCCGGCGATAATGCAAAAGATATCTTCTCATGACTAATTTTAAACCCGATACTAGTACCTATTTGAACCTTACTTCTACATAATACCGTAAATGATTAGGGTTTTAATATTTTTAATTAATTTATACAAAAAATATGTCAATTAGTTTGGGAACGTGGTGGTAACATTGAACAGCAGGATTGAACGTGCTTGGGCGGCGTCGATCGAGTTCCATCTAAATATTATTGTCTGCGTTACGCTACCTCGTTTTGAATCACTTGAATGAAATTCACTCAGCTCAGAGCTCAGTATAACATTGGTTGGCTTGGCGGTAGGAACATTGTGTGGTTAGGAAATTCAGTTGTGGTGCAATAGGTAGTGTAGTGCGATAATCTCAGTCCAAAATGCGTGATTACGTTTAGAAAGTTGGGTAGTCGATCATACAAAAATTACACCTCTGATACTTTGGATCAAGCAATCCGCGAAATTAAAGCAAAACAGTTATCACTTTCCAAGGCGTCGAAGAAATACAAAATCCCAAAAGGAACATTAAGTCACAAACTGAACAACAAAAAAATGAAGGACGTCGGAAGACCCACAGTTTTTAACAACGACGAAGAAAATGCACTGGTCAAGATGCTTTTGAAAACCGCTGAATGGGGCTTTCCTTTGACTCACGATGATTTACGACATGTTATGAAAAGCCATTTGGATACAATGGGTAAGAAAGTTAAGCAGTTTAAAAATAATTTGCCTGGTATCGACTGGATTAAAGGATTTCTGAAAAGAAACAGAGAAATAAGTGTAAAAAAAATCTCAACATATAAACCCAAATAGAGCATCTTCCACTAGAGAAGTTTTCATTGCTTATTTTGATAACCTTGAGCAATGTCTAGACGAGTTTCCCCCCGATTGTATATACAATTTCGATGAGACAAATTTATCGGATGATCCTGGGTCTGCAAGATGCTTTTTTTAAAAGAGGGGTGAAATACCCAGAACGTTTATTATCTCAATCAAAATCTTTTATCGGGTTCGGGATGACGGAAAGAGGACCCGATAAAACCAGATACAACCGAACAGCTCATGGATGGTTCGATTCTGCAACATTTTTAAATTGGTTTACTTCTGTTTTCCGTTATTCCACGAGACATGAAGAAGGAGTCAAAGTATTAATCGGGGATAACTTGGCGAGCCATTTTTCTGAGCAAATTATCAGACTGTCGGTTGAAAATAATATTTCGATTCATATGTTTACCGCCGAATACTACGCATATCGCTCAACCCCTGGATGTCGCGGTGTTCGCACCACTAATGAAACAATGGCGTACAACACTCAGCGATTATAAGTTAGCAACTGGATCAACTGGTCTTCCAAAGGAGATGTTTCCAAAACTTTTAAAAAAGCTGATGTTAAAATTCGCAGAAACTGGTGAACAAAACCTTCAAAGTGGGCAACGGGTATGTACCCTTTAGACAGAAATCAAATATTAAAAAAATTGCCTGGTACTGATAATACTGAATCAAATGAAAGTTTTGGAAACAGTTTTAAACGACACAGTTTTACAATTTTCTACAGGGTATTAGGAACAAAAAGAGAGCTAGAACTCAAAGAAAAAAGAAAATTAACATCGCACCGGGTAAAACCATTGGATTGCAAGATTTTGAAATAGGAGAAAGTTCTGGATGTTCTGCACCACCCACGAAGAATAAGAAAAAGTCTGCTAAGGAATTGGATAGTGACAGTTCCGACTACGAACTAGAGCTTCAGGACGAATCTGATTGTGATTTCGAGACATTTTGTGATGAAATACACCAAGAAAAGAACGAGGAGATCGAAAGGCCAACAGGGGCTGCAGTCGTCGACGATTATGCTCGTGAGATTCGCAACCAAAAAGATCTTGAAATTTTTCGTTGGTCTTATAAAAGAAAAACTGAGTGATGGAGATTATGTGGTCAAGTTCCTGAGAATTGCGAAGAATTCTGCCTTCTATTGGCCAGAGGTAAATTTTTCAGTGCATTTTGCATTATACCAAAATCGATTGTTGATTTATTTTTAGATAGACGACATTTCAGTCGTAAGTTCTTCAGATTTGAGAGACTTCTGCCAGCTCCAGCTGAAGACCACCGCGGAAAAGTGGTTTTTTCGATCCAATTTGATGGGTATACTCTGGGCTAAAATCCTTCTAAAGACTGTCGTTTAACGTTTCCCTTATGTTTTGTCATTTGACTTGAAAATTACCAATTTCTTTAGTTTGAAATATGATTCTATAAGACTGTGTAAAAGAATTTAAAGTTTAATAAAAAAGAATGTAAAAAAGTATTTTGTCAATAAATATAACCATTGAGAAAAAAAAAAACAAACAAAACTCTCCCCACTAGTTTTTTCCGCTTGCTTCACTGGCGGGGTTAAATTGAACGAATAACTAACCTGTGGGCTCGTAGATACCGATTTATACTACTGTTCAATGTTACCCCGAACCCGGGGTAAAATTGAACAGCAACTTTTTTATAGCTTTTTTTACATAGCTACGCCCAAGAGATAATCTAACGTATGTAAAGTCATGCTTCTATAGTGACCCATAAGTGGTATTTTTTTTTTCGATTGAGCAACAGATACAAAACTATTCAACAAAATGAAGAAATGTTCAATGTAACCCCTTTTTACGGTATGCTGACGATACTGTGATAATGGCAAGAACAGCGGAAGATCTACAACTCTATTATTTGAAATGTATCTGATAGTCTGAATGAATAGTCATAATTAGTCATAACTACGGCATAGAGAATAACTAAATTATGACCTACAGTAATAATCCAATATGACACTAGTATCGCAATAAACGGTACCCAACTTGAAAAAGTAAGCGAATACAAATACTTAGAAGCTCTCATCAATGAAACAGGTGACCAAAATCACGACGTATTGAAATTGCCAGGTCTACCTTTATAAAAATGAAAAAATTATTTTGTAATCGTGATATTAGTATGCATCTTCGAAGTAGAATGTTAAAATGCTATGTATTCAGTACTTTGCTTTACGGTGTTGACGCATGGACTCTTAAACAGAGGAATATTAAAAATCTTGAAAGCTTTGAGATGTGATGCTACCGCCGCGCCGTATACTAAAAATAAGTTGGGTGGATAAAATTACAAATGAAGAGGTAATACACAGAATAAATAACGATCCAAAAGTTATCATGAATATAAAAAAGAGAAAACTTGAATACTTAGGCCACTTGATGAGAGGACAAAAGTACACATTTCTACAAAATATAATGCAAGGAAAAATTCAAGGACGCAGAAATCCAGGCCGTAGCAGAATGTCCTGGATGAGAAATTTAAGAGAGTGGTTTGGCTGTACCACTAACGAATTATTCAAAACAGCAGTAAATAAAATTAGAATCGCCATAATGATATCCAATCTCCGTTTGGAGAGGCACTCAAAGAAGAAGATAGTCACATTAAGAATTATAGTTAACATCACCAATGGCGAATGGATTTAGTGTCCGCAGTCATATAAACATAAACAAACAGCATCACCAGAGTAGCTTAAGAGTATGAAGTCCTAGATCAACGATATGCAATGAATAAAACAGTGGAAGTTTTACTCTTATTGCTTAATATTATTTCTATCTTGCTATTTTGTCAGATGCTTAATTTCCATGCGACTCTAGCATTCCATTGGACCTCTTTAATATCTCTTACGTTTATCGGTTTCAAGATGCCTTCTTTTTCTCTCCAAGATGTCATAGGTAGTTCCTCTTGTTCTGCATTTTGGTGGTATACATTTAATAGTCCTTTTCGGAAGTCTTGCATTATTCATATTCTGGACATGTCTGTACCATATATGTTGTTGCTGTACCATATATGGTATCTCTCCCTACGGGATACCACTGATGTCCTGATGACCTGATGTCACAAAACACTCTATTTTGACTGTCTCTACTTTACTTCTGTTATTAAAAGTATGTTTTCTACACAAAATTGTCTTTTCACGGGAGAAGATTTTAAACCGAATGCTTATGGTAAATTTTCTTTGCATTTAAGGCTGTTTTAGCAATTAAAGCACACTGCGATTTGAAATGAGCGTATCACTTGTTTTTCTACGCTGCTTACGCCAGACCATCTTTACTCAGTGGCGCCGGCCGACGGGTAGTTTAATGACAACAAATGCATTATTCTAAATTCAAATTAGTTTTTAACACGAACTAACTGACCGTACGTTCATGAGATTTGATGTCACGAAGGCAATATCGATGAAACTAAGCGCCAATGATGAATAACACGTTTCACTATTAGATTTTAGTATTTTTTAACAATTTTCTTAACAGGTGAACAGCTTTTCTCGATTATTACTGAACACAGAAAGGAGAAAAAAAAATCAACGATTACAGAAAAAAAAAACCTTTCAAGTGGTGGGCGTACAAAGTTTGGTTATAATAGAACGTTAAACAGTATAATCCAATTTTTCAACAAAGTTTCAAAAAAATAAAAAAAGTAAAACCATCATTTTAAAGGCAACATAATTTCGAATAACGTGTAAAAATTTCGAGACATTTTGTCGGTAAATAACAAAAAAAACACTGTCCCTAGGTTTTGGTGCACCGATAAAACAGTCTTAAAGAAAAAGTAATATTATAATGGAAATATATGTTAGACTAAACTAACTACGCTATTATTACCTCATCTAACACATGTTTATTCATCTCGATATGCTGATTGAATACTCTATCAATATCTTCATTTAAAATGTAATTGTTTATTATTATATCTTCGGTAACTCTTAGGAGAAATTGTAGATATTCATGCTCACCGATTCTAGAAATTGAAAAGTGTATTATTAGAGATATTATTCCAAAATGACGGTTTTCTGCTCAGAATTGCTCAGAAAACTGTTTGGATATAGTCAATAAATATTTAGGTAAAAACCTTTAAAAAGTTACGAACTTTATTTTGTGTTACATTTTTGTTAAAAATATATCTTGTTAAAAAAATATAACAACAATGTATCACAAAACAAAGTTTGTAACTTTTTAAGGGTTTTTACCCATGTATTTGGCGGCTTAACTCATGGATACCTGGTAATAATAGTAGCTCGACATAACTGTTGCCGGTCCTAAGCCCGGATAAAGGAGGAGGGGGTCTACAGCCAGGTTAGCACCCTACTGAGACTTTAAAACCATACAGCTTATTGAAACAGAATTAGGCTTTGGAACAGGAATGCTTTCATTACGACGACTTGTAACCTCGGAAGCCTTTTTTGGATGGTGATAGAAAAGTCACCAATGGAGACACTGCGAACGGCAGCCGGATGGTTAGTAGAGAGCGAGTGGTGGGTTCGAAACTAGTTTTTGGAACCGAGAATGGGTCCAATGGACGAAATAAGTAAAGATAGGACAGGATAAGATATATTAGAAAAGATACAGAAATAAACAAAAAGATAGATGGGTAAAATTACCAAAGATAAGATAAGATAGAAGAAAGGGCGACACTTAACTTTTTGGGGTTCAAGGGAAAATTGAGAAACCCTAGAAACGAAAAGAGATAAGGAAAGATATTTAGAATCTGAGACCAAATCCAAGGAAAGATATTGACAGTTCTTCTGGTCGAAGGTATATATAATAATAATTCAATAAAAAAAGCAAATAGTCAGAGGTATTGTCATATCAGGAAACTTATTAGGAGTCGAAAAATAAAATTCATACATAAAACAAAACAGTATTATGAATAGGAAATACCTTTACAAATACGATATAATATAAAGTCATGCACAAATTAAATTATCAGCAAAGAGAGACTGATGCTATTTAAAAATATTCAACCAAAGCTGATTAAAGAAGTCTCTCTTTGCTGTTTTATGGCTTATTTCGAGATAACGGGTACAGTAAATAAAAAATAAATTGCAAATAACACAAAGTTAATTAAGGTTAAATTCAAACAATATAAAAAGGATACAAGGATTCAGTATTATAAAAATTTAACCAACCCGCACTTGGTTATAAGTAGACTTCGGCAAATATGCAAATAAAAATGTAGAAAATATGCGCATAAATATGCACGTGTTTACCCGAAAATATGCAAATATTTTACAAAATATGCATACAAATAAATAAAAAAATCGTAAAATAGTAACAATTTTATTAAAAAAAAAAGTGTACATAACTAAATATTTCCTACTTTTCATTAAGATTTACATTTATTTTAAGTAACTACATCATTTTTAAGTATGAATAAACTTATTTAGAATTATGGTAACAATAAATGACCAAGTGGTGTTCAAAATTTTCTAACAAAAACTTGTGGCTTTTGTCTGAGTACATATATTTATATATGGAAAAACTTCGTTCAACATCAACTGATGTAACGGGAGCATTTTTCAAACTAACCAAAACGTTTGGTTCTAAATTAATTGTTTCCGAAATATTTCCAGCTAGAACACTGACTACTTCAGAAAGAATATGGTAACCTTCACTTTTTTCCATAGTAGCTTCAAATTTTTTTAAAATATATTTTCCAATATTACCTCTAACGTTCCGACAACATGACCCAAATTCTTTTATTAATGCTGTACTTTCGAACAATGACAGTTTTGGTGATTCTAACTGAGTAATTGTTTTTTGAACAAAACTAAAATTTGATTTTATAAATGAAAGTTCTTGTTGAAGCAAGTTACTCTGAAAAGTTTGTTTAGAATCCAAAAGAGATTGGGAACTTTCATCTGTTAACGTATCAATTATGTTCTTTATTTTAACAAAATGATCTGCATAAAAATTAGCTGCTTCTAACCATGTTCCCTATCGCGTTCAAATAGGTTGTGGTGGAAGAGGAATGTTAGGTAGCATTTCTTTATAAAGTTGAATTCTTATAGGAGATTTAAGAAATACTTTTTTGACACTGGATATCATGGTATTTACAAGAGGAAACTTTTTTCGTATTTCCTCTGCAACTCTGTTTAATCCACGCGCTACACAAGTAACATGTATTAAATCTGGGAAAAATATTTTTAAATTTTGTCCTGCTTTCACCATATAAGGAGCAGCATCCGATAAAATAAGCAGTAATTTATTAGAAGGAATAGTTGTCGGAAGAAAAACAGTTGCTAATGTTTCTTGTATAAAACGCGAAATTGTTAAAGCATTTGTTTTCTCAAGTTGCTGGCATGAAATAAGATGAGATTTTGGTAAGGTATCTTATTTAAGAACACCAATCAATAAATGAGCAATATACTTTCCTGAGGAATCAGTGGTTTCGTCTACAGATATGTAAAAATAATTATCTGTAATTTCTTCCTTAATATTAATTAACACCGACGAGTATAGCCCGTTCACATTATTTCTTCTTAGAGACCGATCACTTGGAACATTAAGTTTGCAATATTTTTTTAGAAACGAACTAAAATTTACATTTGCTAATTTTGAAAGCGGTATGTTTGCAGACACTAATGCGCGACACAAGTCTTCATTAACAGTTTCTTGCTCATCTAATTTTTTTGAAGTAGATTGGAAACATTTAGCCATTGAAGTTTGATGTTTTCCTCCTATTTTTCCTTTTTTTGCAATGTGTGAAGCAGTTCTCACATGTTGGTCTATCTGAAATTTCTTCTCACATGCTATCTATAAATAAAAATAAAAACCTTTATTTTAACCCAACCTTTAAAATATAAAAATATACAAGGTGTTTTTGGTTAATCAAATAACTGGTTTGAAAAAAAAACACTCGCTAAGTGTTTTTAAATGCAGTATTAATCCACAAATTAGTTTTTGTTACTAACCATTAGTACATCATATAACTTATTTTAAAATTCAACAAAAGTTTTTTTTTTTTGTTAATTCAATTACAATAAAAATAATTGTGTTTTAGAATAGCTGACTTCATAAAAAAAAGTAAAGGTGAAAAATTTTTCTAAATACACACCATTGTATTGTACCATGGACAATTTTTTCTCACTAAAGGAAGCTATTTTTCATTTAAAAACAACCTACGAGTACTAAATTTCAAGTAAATACGTTTATTGGTTTTAAAGTTATTGTTGTTATTAACTAAAAGAATTTAATTTTTTTTAATTTTAACACCCTGTATCTCGAAAAGTAAATAAGTTTGACCCCTCATTAACTATATCGTTTTGTTCAATTTTTCGAGAAGTATCTACAGTCAAACGTTGTAAGTGTCATTTGGAAACACCCTGTATGTATGAAATATTAGATATTTAATAGAAAATATTAGATACTTACAATTTTGCCACAGACTGAACAGTAGATTTTTCCCATATCCATAGACAGCTCTTTATAAGGTTTAATCCAAGTTGAAGCACTGGTTGTTTTAGGCATTATAAAATCACAATCTTCCTTTTTGTTACGCACAACGAGTGTTTACGCTTTGAATATCAAAACAAAAATGATTTACAAATCTGAGCATCAAATTAGAATTGTTTAGGTACCTAATTCAATAAACTGGGAGATTTTGGAAAATCCCTAAATTAGGAACAAAACTATTAGCCGTTTACCTGCTGTTAAGATACAATAAATTGTAGATAGATTTGGGGATTAGATCATAAAATGCAAATGAGCGAACCCTTAGCGATTATCCAATAACTGAATGCCTCAGTGACCGAGACTTTCTAAGAATGTTGAGGGTTACTTAAATTGATCTTCTTTGAAATTGTAAATGTTTTGTACCTGTAGAGATTACGTACTTAGATCATTTCTTGATTAAAATGACTACAAAATTTTATACAAGAATTGAATAATGGTATTTAAAATTTTCAAATTCAGTGTAAATCGTTTTATGCACTTTATGCAAACTTTTATACAAATATGCTAAAATATGAAATATTTGCATAAAATATGCACAATATGCAACATATGCAATATGCATAATTGCCGAAGTCTAGTTATAAGTTAACTATCTGTATCGTACTGTTGTTTAATGGTTAACTGAGAATTAAATGTTCGTAATTTAGAAGCTCTTCATAGCTGATCGAAAGTTCATACGAAAACATTAAATGTTCTTTAAATTGAATGCAAAATCAGTAGTTAACCTTAACTACAGGTGAAAGAAATAGTCGAACGCAAAAATCGAGGCATGAATTCATCAAATATCTGGCTCGGCAGCTTGTGCAGGATCATATGGAAAGAAGACCAACTATTTCTCAAGTGAGTAATAATATCGCTTCCATTTTAAAAACAGACATTCCTGAACAGAAAAATGCTATTTTAAAAAAGATTAAGGTGCTCAAAATGTCCACGATCATTGGATAGAAATACGAAGATAGTTTGCGTTAGTTGCAAAGCGCCAATATGCCACATGTGTGAAACACATCAAGATTCCTAGTGCAAGGGATTGTGTTTTAGTCTTAGTTACAAAAATCATACTACTCAGTTTTTGAGGCTGTTTCTTAGTTTATTTTTTATGCGTGATAAGTATTTCAAATATTTGTTAAATTTATGTTATAACAAAATAAACGTCTTAAAGTTATTGAAGTCATTTTTTTAATATAAACAAATATCAGTGTCTAATTTTGCAAAACAAATTGGGGTCAGTGGAACCCCAACTCACCATACACGTAACAAAAAATCGACCTCACCAGTTACGGGTTAAAATGATTAAATTCTAAATTTGCAACACAAACAATCTTTTTAAGTTGGTCTTTAATTTGATTAAAAACTTACGAACTAGAGCTCTTTGAATCTCCCATTCCTGATTGCTTTTCAAATAATCTTCGAGTACTTTCTGCAATGTTTCCATCCTCTTCATTAATCGTATTGGTAGAACAAGAAACAGTAGAAATACCATTCATGATGGGCTTTTTCTTTTGTCTGTAATGATTTAACTGGCGGTTATGGTCACATTTGCGTGTAGGACATACCATGAAAGGATCAGTATCTGTGTTTGTCGAACGAGATGAATAACAATGGTTCTTTTTTGGCTTCAATTTTCGTGGAATTCTATCCATCGATTGGGATCTAAATTTTCGGTTTATCTAAAATAGTTAATTATGTAATTATTAGTTAGATGCTTGAATAATTTTATAGTAGAAGATTGGAGTTTCTTTTAAAGCAAATAATCTTATGTAATAAGATTAAAAGCTATAATTGCTCTTGTCAACAAATCGGTTTTCGCCGGATCTAAAACCGGTGGATTAGCCGGGACGTACCCGGTTGGATTAGCCAGTGCCCGTCCGGTTCTTAGCGTTTCAAGCAGGTTTCAAGTAAGCTATTAAAATATTGATTCTGAACCGGGACCAAGTGCGATCACAAGATTGTCTTAAATCAGGGAAATTAGTTTTATTCGTGACTTATCTGAGGTGTGTACCTATACAAGAAAATATTTTCTGATTTTATTTTGATGCAACTGAGAATTATATATACAATAATTGATACATACTGTTGCGTCTGAGCCCCATTCAAGAGGATTTCTTCTAGCCCTAGGTCGAGGTAATAATAATGCTGTATCACTGATATTGTCTGGAGAATAGGTACAAACATGGCCTTTGGGAACATCATAGTAAGGAATATGCACAAAGTTTGAAAAATGTCTGAAAATTAGCTTCAATTAGTATTAAAATTATATACACAGATATAAAATATAATGACATTTTTAATGTCTGGTTTTTAATCACGGCTGTAGCGCAGCGATTACACATATATTAACACGTTCGTGACGACATGTACCAGCGGTGGTACATGCCTAACTTTTCATTCAGCAACTTGTGGCCACCGGTGGTACACGGTACCTGTTCTATTTCTTAACTCACTAAAACCTTGCAGTTAATAGATATGTTGTTTATATTGCGTACACACTTAAAGTATAGTTTTAAATATATGGGTTTGCCGTCGTTTTGGTATATCATAATTTATATGGTCACAAATAAAGGACAAAAACCTATAGTAAAAATGGTTTATTAAAATTAAAACATCGTAGTATAACATAGATATTGTATAAAACTTGGACGATAATTTAAACATACTAAACTAGGTGGGTTTGTGAATTTTATTAAAGCAAGGAAGGCACATAGTTAGTCTATCCTCACATGTATCGCAGTATGTACACACTCTTTTTTTTGTTCGGGCTGCTTTTGATCCTTGTGTATCCTAAATTTTCTTATAACATGAAAAGCAGCGTCTTTTGTTTGTCTAGTAGTAACTATATCGTCATATTTTTGTAATTTATGCTTTACCAAAGATAATTTTGTTTTTGTCACTGGAACAATATTTGGTTCACGAGGACTTTCTGGAACTTTACTTTGTAATAGTCCTTCAATATTTTTTTCGCGAATAGATAACATAATGCATGTTTTAGGATTATTACCATAATTATTGAAAAGAACCTACGTTTTTGACTATGCATGTGTCAAGACAAATTTCGATAAACACTTTCTTATATCAGTTAATGCTTTTTCTTGCATTAGCCATGCCAGGTAGTTTTAGAATGTCTTCACCTTGTCCATTTTTGTTCCTGTCGGTTGGAGGTTAACTGTATGGCTGGGAACTGTAATAATTATTAATACAGGATATTTGTCCATCCATTTGACAACTGTTATGCCTCATCATTTTGTTTTCCATATATTTGTCGTTTCTTCAATTTTTTTTTGACATACAGCTTTGAGATCTAAGAGTTTCACAAACATATGTTTTACACTGAAGAAGCTGTTTACATTTATATTAGTTTACATTTTATATTAGTATAATAATTTTATCAATATATAGTGTCCTTCCTTTATACAAAAGCCCCTCAAGTAATTTCATGCAAATATTGTTGGGGTGTCCAAAATCATTGTCAAGTACATTGGAACCACTTTTACCTACGTATATCTTTAGGTTACATGTATAACCTTTAATAGTATCCTAAACAGGCAAAAACCGTTACAAATGCAATAAAATACCACGACACCTACGACTTCACATTGTGTCCACCGGTGGTACACGACGATTTTTCTTGAAGAATGTTCACTACAGCCGGCGTGTACCACGGATGGTACATACAAAAAAATAGCTTTTAAATAGAAAAATATGGTTTTAAACATATGAAAAATATATTGATAATAGTCAAAATAGAGATTGTTAGTTAAAATATATATTAAAAAAATTGCAGCTGAGAGGTAAAATCTCGGAATTCTGCGTCGTCGCGGACGTGTTAAAATTTAAAAAAAATTAAAATAATATTATATTGTCAATATAGTGAGTAAAGTGCCATAATATCGGATAGTTGCCTATTATCGGATAGTTCTGTTTTAAAGAAACCTGTAATCTGATTAACAAGAAACCTATGTCCAGTTTAGCATGGAGCTAAACCCAGGTCGCCGAATATTTTAGGGTCTCTAGTAAAACATAGAGGGCACTAGAGTAAGTTATCCGAATTTTTGCATTACGAGTTTTTACACGTGCTAGTCGTAAACGCAATTTTTACAGATTCAGGTAAGTTTTTAAATTTGACTATGTAGTTTAAGTTAGTCTATAATATGGCTACTATTAATTAAGTGCATGTGGACAGTGGATTACTAAGGTTTTTTAATCCATAAATATAATCTTCACAACAGGTGATAATTTGCCTAATATTGTAGCATTTTATATTGAAATCCCCTCGTATATGAAATATATGGAAATCGCCTTATATATTTTTAAAAAATAAAACGAAGAATTTTTTACGTGTTCGTTAGTTCGTATCTTTCAAGTTTCAACTATTTTAGAGTTGTTCATTATTTTTAACTTTTTCGGCAATTTCTTTTAATGTTTTATTCGAAGTCGCATTATAATTTTTATACGTTGTAGAAGTGGAATCTTTTACGTTTTAATTTCGTTGTGTTTTGTTATGTCAGCTTTTGTTTTGTTTTCAATTTATATGAACGAATTCTTAAATTCGTCATTCTTACTTGGGTCGAGGTAGGCTCAGGTCACCGACTCAGTATGGATCCAAATTCACCTTCGAATTTGTAGTTTCCGTTTTTGGCCCCTCTTTGTGGAATTATGTAGCAGTGGAAAGTAAATTGTGAAGTGTGTCTAGTTACAGAGGAGGTTAAGAAAAAGTATTTAAGAGATTTGTGTCGCCTGCAGCATTTCTGATGTTCCAGTTGAAGTGCTTCTTCAATCTCGCTGTTCCTGCTTTGAAGCAGTTTGTTTAGTTCCAGTTAATTGCAGTTATGGTTCCAGAATATTCAAAGTGTGATTTGGTGAATTAAGGTAACTTTTGTTTCAAATTTTGAAGTAAAGACAGACTTTTAAATAATAATTGCTTTCTTTAAAATTTAAAAGTAGTAATGTTAAATATTGTAAATTTTGGGTTTTGAGTTTAACTGTCAATTTAATTGTTCGTAGATTTAAACTTTAATGTTAACATAAGACAGCTCGCTTTATTATTTTGATTTTATTTGTTTTTTTTTTAAAGGTTAACCTACATTCAATTTTGTAAGATTTGTAGCAACAGAGTTTGTTAACGGCTAGGACACATGTAAGTTTTTTTTGTTATTTTTGTTCTCTGTAACTATTGATCTATTTGTAAAGTTGTGCCATTATTTTTATAACTGTTTGTGGTGACACAAAAATAAATGTTAAATTTTGTTTTCTTAACATTTTATTTATTTTTTTGAACTAACCCTTTTTTGATTTTTATTTGAAAAAGATATTTTTTTTGATGTTTTATAATTATTTCCCTAGTTACAACTAGTGGTTGTAATAGGTATAATTAGGCACCTCAAGTGGCGCCCTATATTAAATTCCTTGAGGTGTTTCCTGTTTATTTTTTATTTTGTTTATCCCAAGAGATTAATGACCCCTTTATTTAATTTTTTGTAGTTGCCCCATTTCAACCCCTTATCTTTTAATTATCCACGACCCCAGCTCTCCTACCAAACCTGAGTGCCGTTCGCACAAGTAGCGCTTATTTTGCTTGCCCTATCTTCACCCCCAATTTTCTACCCCTTGTATTAATGCCCCCTTTGGTAGGCAAAATATTTCCGTTACAATATCAGATGGTCGTACTGTCTTAATATCAGATATCCGATATTAGGACAAAAAATTTCTTAATTGTTTTTATATACAATATCTACCATCAGTTCTACGTAGTTAAGGTCGTGTTAACAATTACATTTTAATGTTTTCGTCGACAAAAAGAAAGAATTATGCTATAATTTTGCACTATGTCTGCTTTGCTCAACGGTGCTCCATCAGGGATAACAGCTGACTGTTAAGTGTCTGGCTGGATTCAGAGTCACATTTTTACCAATTGGTTTCAACATTTACTGCCGACGCATTCTACTCACAAAATGCAGCCGCTGGACCTTGCTTTCATGGGGCCTCTTAAAACCTACTACTCGCAGGAAATTGGCTATCGCTAAGAGACAACCCTGGAAGAGTAGTCACCTGATATCAAGTTTGCCAATTGCTTGGAAGAGCTTATGTAAGATATGCTACAGCTAAAATCACTATAAATGGTTTTCGAAAGAGCGGTATCTGAACATTTAATAACACAACACATTTTTCGAGAACATGACTTTTCCATTCACTATCAAGCGGAAGGTGACGGAGTTCCAGTTCCAAATCTACCAGAGGCTAAACAAGAAAATCAAGTAACTCCTCCGAAGCATGTAACTCCTCCAAGAAGTATTGATGCGACCAAATGTGTGGAAGATTTATCATGTAAGAACATTTCTTATAATAGATATTCAACAGTGCGGCCACAAGGTATTAGCCCTTTACCCACCACTTCATTTTACAAGTCTAGTATTAAAGAAAGAAAGTCCAGAAAAGGATCTGCTGCCTTGATTACTGGTACACCATACAAAGATGCCTTAGGAAGTAGTATGTCATAACAGAAGAGAAATAAAAGTATTTTGAAGGGAATTCCGAAATTAAAAATAGACAAATGTGAGCCTTTTAAAAAAACAAATAAAAATAAAGGAAAATCTATTGCTAAGAAGACAATGACAACCAAGGTTAAAAGAAAAGTGCTAAGAAAGAGAAGCTTTTAGTTCATCTGAAGAAGATGAAGAATTCATTTTAGATTATGATTCCGATATGGAGTGTGACATTGGGGAAGAGAAAGCAGAATGTATGTTTTGTACTGGACTCTTCTCTGAAGATACCTCGGCGAACAATGCATTCAGTGCTCAAAGTGTTTTAAGTGGGCTCACATCGACTGCACCATTGTAGACAAAAAAGACACATATAATTGTGATTTCTGCCTCGATGGCTAATTTTATCCCGTTATCCTAATATCCGGTATTAGGAACATTTTTTTTGTCGGTCTAAATTTACCATTATTTATAAAAATTTTAATTTTATTTTTTACTTCTTAGAAATAATTTATTTTCGTTCAACAAATGATTCTCTGTAGTCTATTACTTGTTTTGCTCTAAAATATTCATAAATTAATTGACATAATAAAACTAATATTAGGTTCAAAAAAAAGTATCCGATATTAGGGCACTTTACTCTATGCCATTATAATGTTGGCTTGATTAATATACATATATGAATGAATTTACAGGTATTTTATGGTGGAAAGCAAAACCAGTAACAATGGTTTTTATTATAATTACTT